CGAAAGAGAGGCCGAAAGACAGACCGAGAGAGACTGAGAGAGACCAAGAGATAGACCGAGAGACCCAGAGAGAGTCTAAGAGAGAGACCGAGATAGAGAACAAGAAAGATACCGAGAGAATACCGAGATAACACCGAGAGAGAGCGAGAGAGACACCGAGATAGAGAGCGAGCGAGAGCGACCGAGATAGTGAGCGAAGAAGAGAGACCGAGATAGAGAGCGAACAAGAGAGACCGAGATAGAGAGCGAACAAGGGAGACCGAGATAGAGAGCGAACAAGGGAGACCGAGATAGAGAGAGAACAAGAGAGACCAAAATAGAGAGAGAACAAGAGAGACCGAGATAGAGCGACCTAACGAGAGAGAGAGTCATAGAATGAATGAAACAGAGAGAAGGAGAGAAAGACATAGAGAGGGGCAGAGAGAAGGGAGAAATAGAGACAAAAATAGAGTGAGACGGAGAGAGAAACTGAGGGAGACGGAGAGAAATAGAGAAACAAAGAGAAACAGAAAGAGGCAAAGAGGAAAACAGAGAGAGAAACGGGCAGAGACAGAGAAACAGAGAGAATTGTTTTATTTATTATGGCGTCCTCTTTAATTATTAGCTACCCCGAAAACTATTCATATACAGTGGACGCTGCTTGTTGTAATCACTTCGGACCGCACGTAATGACAACATTAACTGAATGACAAGAATAGACAAAGTATTTAATTGAAGATTATCAAATGAAAAAGAAATTGACATCAAATTATTTACTATGGAAAACACAGCCATTCATAATACTCGTAAATTCAATTGTTCCTTCACAAAAACAAAAGAAAATGTATTCAGGCAATCATATTCCCAATTTGTCACACTGGCCATCACTGCAGTTTATCTTCACGAACGAATGAGAACTGACGGCATCGTGCACCACACTGAAAGTTTGGATGTCTACCTACGAGAGGTGAGAGGCGATCAAGCGCCGGCCAGCAAGTTATTTTTAGAACAGCGCGTGGGAAAGTGACATGTGTGCCAGTAGCGAACAGTATTTTTTTTTCTCCAGTCGAGACGAACTTTGATGGTTCAAAACTGTGCGTAACTGAAATGTGTTTCAAACCAACATAAAACGAATTTTGATCACTATAAAAGACGTTTTCTTAATGTTGTAATATTAGTCCTTGCGGGACACCATAAATAAGTCAATATTAAACGAATAATATTAACTGTGATTAAAATATGCAGAGTCCACTGTATTTTTTTTTTAATTTCTAGGTTTTGTCATTTGAATTTCTAATTTTGAGAAGATGTGTTATTAAAAGAATAAATACCTATCTTCAATACTATTGTTGAAGTCAGATGCCGTAAATGTTTTAAACTTTGCAATTTTCGTGTCTTAAATATTGCAACGAAAATGTGACCTGCGCCATATTAAGTGTTCTTTACGCTGTCCCAATACAAAGTTTAATCGAAAAATTTGGAACCATTTTTTGGAAAAATGAATGAAAAAATCATCGAAGCTCAAATATAGTACCCTAAAAAATTAACACAGCGGTTTCAAATTCAAAGGGTGGCGACGTCCGGCAGTTCGATTGGAGAATATTAATTTGGGTGAAAACCCTACAAACGATTTAGCACATAGCGGTATTGACAGATAGACTGAGGTTTTGTCGAAAACCAATTTTTCCATAACTCTCTATACTACATTTGTAGGATGCGAGAAAGTAATCACGTTCTGTGCTAGCAGAATCCGTGAAAAACGTTTGTACTTTTCTACTTCCGAAGGGACCCGCATTGTTGAAATTTTGAACGCCAATTCCATTCTTGAAATTAATATTTAAATGGAGTGTATTGAGCGTATCATGGCCACTTAATGTTTGCTCTCCCAAAAGAATTTTAGAAACAAAATTAGTCGTCTGATCTCACAAAATCTAATAATGTGACTGTCAATATTTATTACGTAACTTTCGAAGCTTCCAATTGCCGAACCGAACGCTAGTATTCTGAGAACGTACTTTAACCGCTTTCGTGTATATTGAGTATTCCGGGCCAGCGAGTGAGGTGTTCGGAGTACGGTGGAAGACAGGGTGTGAAGCACGTGGGCTGTGGAGTGTGGAGAGGGACTCGTGATGGAGTGTGATCGGGGGCGAGGGTGGCATGGCGCAAATGTAAGTGGCGGGGGACAAGGAGTGCTGGGCGTAGAACCAGGAGTGCGGAGCGTGTGGCATGTGGCACGTGGCACGTGGCGCGTGGTGCGTGGCTCGTGGCGCGATGAGCGCGGGCGCGAGGTGCGGGTCACGGGGGCGTGGGATGAGGGGATGCTAGTGCGGGGCGTGGGAATGCATGGCTCAGGGCGTAGTG